AGGATTTTTAGGGACTGGAAATTCTCGGACCGATACTAATTTCACTGGATCAGGTTTTACGCCATCAGCACTGACAATGTGTCCCAAGTATGTAACACTATTTTGCAAAAACTGACATTTATCAGGCTGCAAGGTTAATCGCGCTGTTCGTAATCTACCCATTAAATTCATGAGTTTTCTCTCATGTTCTTTAAGAGAGCTAGCATAAATGACGATATCGTCAAGATAAACAAATAACTCGACACCCTGTAAACCCGAGAGTACTTGATCCATCAACCGTTGGAAGGTTGCTGGCGCATTTTTCAAACCAAAGGGCATTCTTTTGAAATGGTAGTGACCATGGGGGGTCGTAAAAGCTGTCTTAACCTTGTCATCTTCGTTCATGGGGATTTGGTGGAAACCAGAGGCAAGATCCAGAACTGAAAAATACTTTGCACCACCGAGTTGGTCTAATATATCAATTATATTTGGAAGGGGGTACGCATCTCCAATAGTTTTCTGATTTAATTGGCGGAAGTCAATTACCATACGCCATCTTTTATTACCCTTTGAGTCTGGTTTTTTAGATACGATCCACACCGGTGAATTATATGCAGAATGAGACGATTCGATAATATCATTTCCGAGTAAATCTTTAACCTGTTTCTGTATTTCCTCTTTGTGCACGGGGGGATATCTGTATTGCTTTGTTGAAATAGGCATATGGTCTGGAGTTGGAATTCTATGCGTTACAACGTTCGTACCCTTCAAACGATCACCGGGCAAATGAACCTCATATGGAAACTTGGAGAATACCCTGATTATACTCTCTTTCTCCTCGGAATTTAAATTATCTAAATGAAGGCTGTCGATAACTTTACTTATTCTATCCGATAAAACCTTTTCTTCAGAATTTTCCGATTCTTTCCCGGTATCATTTTTACTCGTTCTACACGGCCGTACATCTACATCTTCAATTATTTGGGGTGGAATTTCGATTTCTTTCTCTTCTTCATTAGAATTTATCACGTAAATCCAAGCAATACCCTTATTAATTTTTACTAGGGCCTCACCTACATAAATATTATCGCCTAGATCCAATCTGGGTAAATATCCCTCAACAATGTCAGTATTAACCACTCTGATACCGATTTTCTTTCTACTTCGTGCTGGAATTTTGAAATTTTGATTGCCAAAAGGAATATGTATGTTTTTGTCGGAAATTTTTAAACAATTTTCTGTGAAACAAAGCGTTGCTTTTTCGTCTCGCAAAAATGTTGAACCCAGAATTCCATCGTATTTTAATGGAAAATCGTGTCTGACTACTTGAAATGGACAAGAAAATGAATCAAACTTGATCACGACTTCCCCAAGTGTTGTCTCTGATCCTGATGTAATTCCTGATAATAAAAATTTCTTATTGCCATTTATGATACTTTCAGGTAATAAACAATTTTCCTTGACAAGATTAACGTCGGCTCCTGAATCGACTAATAGTCACATTTTCATGTTACGTAATTCATCACTACTGAGTACTACACAAGGTGGAACAATACGTTTGGATTCACTGAGATGGACCGACGCTTGTTCAGGTTTTACTTGATCGGTAGACGATTGGGCCATTGAATCTCGAGTGTGATCTTTTCTCTCATTTCTGAAATTCTGATTCCCGTTTTTACGTCGACAAACGTACATAGTGTGTCCTATTTTTTGACAGAAAGTACAATAACCTGGTTTGAATTTACTTCTACAATCCCTCTTTGAGTGCCCATTTTTCCCACACGCAAAGCAAGTGATAGATTTACGATCGAATTGTGTGAAATGATTTGAAGAATTTCCATGAGTTGAATGAACATGAGCGTGTCTAAAATTTGTGGTTTTTCGATTTCTATTGTGAGAATAATTTTGATCCTGATCAATATCCATTACCTCTGATTGACTATTATTTTCCCCTTTCGGTTTCTCCTCTTTAATGTTGAACAATTTTTCTCTTTCCTCGACTTCTTTCTCCATCTCCATGGNTCCATGGCTAAATCTATTGCCTGCGTTAAAGTGGATGGTCTGTTACCCGACACGCGTAGACTTAATTCGCCCCTGAGACCCCTAACAAAACTGTCACGCGCCCCCTCTCGAACGCTACTCAACAACCCCATATTTGTTCCATTTGGATATTTTTCATTGATCACCTCTTCTGTTCCACGTAAAATCTCATTTATTCTGGTTACAAAGTCCATGATACTTTCTTTTGGTTTCTGAAATATACTAGCTAGAAGAGCTTGCCATTGTGAGAGAGTTCGACGTGGTGCCAATGCTCGTTTTAAATTCGTAACCAATTCTGTAAGAGACAATCCAGAAAGATTGGAGACATAAGTACTTGCTTTACCGTGAATTCGTGATTTAATGAATTGAGTCAAGTAAGTCCTCTGCAAAGGGTGAGCTGAAAGAACAGCGTGTTCACAAAGCTCGATAAACATCAATACCGGCATATTTTCCCCATCAAATTTCGGAATCATGTCTTTCGCGTCTTTAATTGGCAAATATGAATTTNGAAAGATTAGAGACATAAGTACTTGCTTTACCGTGAATTCGTGATTTAATGAATTGAGTCAAGTAAGTCCTCTGCAAAGGGTGAGCTGAAAGAACAGCGTGTTCACAAAGCTCAATAAACATCAATACTGGCATATTTTCCCCATCAAATTTCGGAATCATGTCTTTCGCGTCTTTAATTGGCAAATATGAATTTGCATTATTCCCAACAGTTTGATGATGATGACTCTGAGTGAGATTCGATGTGATAAAACCATTGCTACTCCCAGCGCCACTGATGCCACTTGTCGATATGCTATCACTCCCACTACCTGTATTAATCATCGCTACCCCTGACGTTGTAATCATTAGAGATTTATCTGAAATTCGTCCTTGATCATCATCATTTCGCGTGGTTGTCTCAATTACTTGCTGTGACTCATTTTGTGATACATTCTGATTACCCCCACTAACATTTTGCACTGATGTTTCTCTACTCTCGGTATTGTTTTGTATATTTATTTCATTACGTTGAATATCATTCGTCTCATTAGGTTCGCTATTACTATTATTATTATTTAGTGTCTCACTATTTCCATAATTATTCTCTGTTACTTCCTCAACTACCCATGAACCCTTTGGAAACGACATGATTATAATTTTACAAGACCACTAAAATTCAATAAAACACTATTCTCATAATAAATTTTCAGTTCGACTATTCATTAAAATTCTATCTTATGCTCTCTTTTTCTAAATATGATTGTGCTCTCTCCATCGGGTGGACGCGGCTGCGGCCGTCTGGCTCTGCAAGATATCTTTTCGTAAAAACCCAGTAAAACCGCGGAAAAGCTGAGTGAGATACCTTGGTGTCCCAACCCCGAAACTAATATTTAACTTATGCTCTAGACTTACAATTTTTCCTTATACTGATATTTTCACTGTATTCCAATAGTGTTTCACTTTAATTTTACACTTTATTGCTCTTTATTGATTTCACTATCACTGAAGTATTATCTGCTTTTTCTATCCTTGAAGATGGGANCAAATTGACCGCCAGGTGCATACAACGCCACCTAGTAATGAACGGCCAACGACGTAACACATTANGTGTTTCACTTTAATTCTTTCACTATCACTGAACTATAATCTGCTTTTTCTATCCTTGAAGATGGGGTGTCCAGGTTGTCAGTTCCTTGAAGTCTCGTAGTTGAAGTTGAACAATGAAAATTCGCAGAATTTTCAAATCGGACTTATTGAACGCTGCGAATCCCACCGCTGTCACCAGTTGTTATGTCCTCCCAGATGTCACTAGGAAAACAGCGCCAAGTTTCGAATCGGCGAATAAAGAAGGCAGGAACATTCCACAGCTGAAGCCCGGATGGGCAATCCAACGAAGTCCAATTAATAATCCAAAGAATAATTAATGAATCCTCATTCGTAGAAAAATTGGGATAAGGAATTATTTGATATTGAATGAAAAACACTGAGTGCTTCGGGAGAGCACGTAAACTATTTATTTAGCTGTCAAAACTGTATTAACTTTCACTAGACATTGATTGATATTTTGGAGATCTGCACTCTAAAACCTGTCTCGTCGAACTCACTTAACTTATTCAAAACGTCCCTTTCGTGGGTCCTATAACTCCCACTCTTTTCAGATTGCGCACGCATTCTCTCTCTTTCTTATGTTTTAGTGATATCTTAAATGCTAGACTCAAAAAGTGGTGGGGAGGGCTGGGCAACGTTGTGACGCAGTCAACTGTTGCCAGCCACCCCCATCCACGTTCTAGAATTTGGGACGCACGTGTGACCGGCAGAAAATGACGTTCTTGGGTTTAATACAAAGGATACAAAGGGAGATCTGTTGGGATTAGTCATGGACCTTTCTCGAGAAGTTTACGTCTGAATTTTATGTGTTTATGGCGACGCCAGAAAATCAACAGGCCTCCAATATTTATATTAGCTTGGTTTATTTCGTTCGTTTATTTAAACTGTTTATGTTATTTCTTGGATGAATAGAGCTTTGTATTTGAGAGTTGAAATAAGACGTCATTGTCCACCAAAAGAACACGTGCCCAAACTACGCAATATTGAATTTAATGAAAGAATGGAAATTAAATTATTATCTAATTATTCTGATTAGAGTAATATTCAAATTGACCGCCAGGTGCATACAACGCCACCTAGTAATGAACGGCCAACGACGTAACACATTACCCCCTGGATACTTTTGTGTTGGTATTGCATTCAGGGTTCGGACAAGAGAATACCAGCCCATACGCGTTCCCCCCACTCTGCGCCGTTATCGACGCTCTCACACGCTCCGGTTTACTTACAGGTACATACTCAAAATTAGTTCTGCGCCACCGCACGAAATTTTGCGGTTGAAGCGTTTCCATAGGCGCTAGCAATCTCCCTTATAATCTCTGCTTGCGTATCGTAGATGGGCACCCTTAACACTCCCTTTTACCGACGATCCACCGTGGCGCCATCCTCTCATCGGGTGATACTCATTTCAGCTTGGGGTCGTCCAAAGCCGAGAACCGAGCCTCCACTAATTTCTTCAGTGATTCGCACGCTGATTTCAGCGTTCAAACGATAATCAAAATAAACAAACCGCAACAATATCTCAAAAATAAATCTCACGTTTCGGGATTAATCAAAGACCGTGAGTATTTTCCCAGATACCAGTAAAATTAAATTAGGTTTGCCACAACGTTCATTTCAGAACAATGAAAAATACACGTGTTTACTCCTCAGGTACGTAATATGGCTAAAGCCACAAAAGCAATTCCAATATGCCGACAATCTTTGAATCCTGAAAACTATTACGAGTACCAGCCTAAATTTGGTGTATGGTTAGTTCATTTCGAAAATCTCAAAGAACTCTCAATCGAAAAAGTAACAAAAATATTCAAAAAATACGGAGCTGTGAAGAACGTCAGTCAGACTGGTTCCTCTCAGGGCTATTGTTTCATCAGTTATTGGCACAAAAACGACGCTAAAAATTGTGTCCTACAAAGCACCAATGACGGAATCAAATTGAGATCATTCAGCCCTACAATTCGCCTCATGAAGAACAAACAATTGTCGGATGATCCCGAGATGTTTGAAGCCATGAAGAAAAAACCAATAAAAACAGTTAATGTCATTCGGACTTATGATAATGATGCTAATAATAATCTTAAAACCGAGAAACCCCCTAAGAATGATCAGCATAATTATGACAAGTATTACGAAGCCAAGTCTGTGTTCTTTGCTAATGCGAGAAAATTATCTGAAAAAGAAATTCGGGAGTTATTTTCAACATATGGATACATCGAGACTGTTCAGCAAACCGGGTATCCCACTGGCTGGTGCTTTGTTAGATTTGGATCTGAGCAGTGTGCCAGGGAATGTGCAATTGATGTTGTGAGTAAGGGAATTATTCAGCTAGAGGAGTTTAAGCCAGCGTCTGCTCTTAAAGTGAGGAAGCAAGAGAAGCTCACGAGGAGGGGGCTGGAGGAGTTTTCTTCTAGATCCTTCAATTTTGATAATTCAACTGTAGAGACCTTTAAGCATCATTCGAGCTCTGGGAGTCAAACTATCCAAGAGATTGATCTAGTGATCTCAGGGAAATATGATGACGCGATGCAGAAGAATCGAGAGGAGATGCTTATGACTTTAAAAAAAAATTCTAAAGATCTTCCGAAGATGGTGCAGAAGGTTATTATGATCTCTGGGAAGTATTTCTATGTTCCTATGAATTCGAGGGTTCCCTGGAAGAAACTGAAGACTGTTGTGGTGGAGGACGTACGTGCTGAGGGGATTGTTGTGGCTAATATTCATGGAGCCTGTGACACTGACTTTTTTGGGAAGCTTTTTGAGGAATATCAACCAATTTTTGTGACGAAGATTAAGGAAGTTGGAGAGGGCTCGTTGAATTACTGCCATGTTTACGTGAAGACTGATTCATTCGCAAGAGCTGCGGTGGAGCATTATGATAATTTTGATGTTTATGGGAAGAGTCTCATTGTTGTTAGACCGGAATCGTTGATTAGCGGGTAGGTCTTAGGGGGGGGGAGAGCTTTTTTAGTATTGAATGTTTTTCGTCGAGTGTTGATTATTCGTCTTTTGTTGATAAATAGTAGTCATGGTGAAGGAGTTTTTACGAGTTGAAGTATTCAGTGAGATTATTATTATGCAAAAACAAACGTTAAAAGTTTGAGGCGTAAGTGAAGGATGGGAGTAAATGTGAACTATGAGCAACCGGGGCCTATTACTTTATAATTTGGGAGAAACTTTCAATTGATGTTGAGCAGAAATTAGTAAATAAATGATTTGTAATGTTGGAAATGGTTTGAGCTTTTATAATTTTTAGGGGAGTTATATTTGCTATGACGAATCTTTTGTCATCGGAAATTTATTATCATGAACTGATGATTTGTCGAGGAAATGTGAAGAGTCGCTTTTGGAAGTGATTCTATCGAAATATCGAGATACGCGGTAGCGTATCGGTCAAGAAAAGTTTTGACCGACTGAGCAAAACATCAGGCCGAACGCACCGCATATCTCGACAGAACTTCCCCCTCCACTACCTCTAAATGATTTACATTCGGTATAATGAAAACGGGACGACAAATCGGGAAAGTGCCGTTAGTTACATTATATAAATCGCCTATGAGCTTTTCAACGGTGCAACTATGGTATTTTTTGGATTAACAGGAAAAAAGATACGAGCATAGCAACGGGTTAATATTCACATTCTCGCGATACACATTATAAAGTCGGAGAATCAAGTTCTAACGTTGGCAGGGCCGATCCAACTGAGTCTCATATCCATCGTTGAAGTGTTACCCCCAGTGCATTTGAATGTGGGTTGTGATGTTGTTATGGAGAACCACGGGAAATGTTCTTCTGCACGTTAAATCACTCATTAGAATGGAATGGAAAATCGATTCGGTGTTCTATTTTGTTTTCTCTTGTCGAACATTCGAATTTCATTCCGCCATATCTATATTCATATGCGGACCTCGGACATAAAAGTAGTTTATAAAGGTAGTTTATGCACTGTTTGTGAGGTTATCGGTTTATGTTTGAAATGTGACAAAAGTGAGATGTGTCGAAAATATTGTATCTCACAGGTATTAAATGTCTGTGAATAGTTGAAGTTAAAAAGAAAATATTTTTATGCCCTCCGGCCGGAAAGCGTCAACTTCCTGGCCGCGGCGCCAAACGAAGTTGCCACTTTCCGGCTGCGTCGAGCAGAAAAATAGTATACACACCTTGGCCAGTAAATAAGAAAGCCTCAGATCACATGTTTGTCGACCTCGGCTTCGCCTCGGCCAACAATTACATGTGATCTGAGACATTCCTTACTTTACTGGCCGAGGTGTGTAATCTACTATATTTTTCTCCGAGTGTAACAGAAAATGTTTTTATTGCGTGGAACAAAATTCTCTAAATTAAGTGACAGTAAAATGGGAACAATTTTGTGATTATTTTGGAAAAATTGGAGACGGTAGGATTAAATGGACACTTTGAACCGTTTTCAAAATGTTGATGTCTTATTGAAGTGTTGATGAAATAGATTTTTTTAAAAATTAAAGTACAGTCAGCCCCTTTGTAATGAGCTTAGACTGAGCTCAATCGATAAATTTGTTCCTTGGTTATAAATATGGAAACAAGAAGTCAGAAAAGTCCATTCCACCCAATGTTTCCCTAATATTTTTAAAAACAAAAAAAAATTAAAGATGTTTTCAAAAAGAATTCTTTGTGAACATTTTGTTCGACTATTCCTATAAGGAAATCAATTCATCTTTCCAAGAAATACAATCCATATAGGAATCATCACAGCAAAAATTGAATGCGGAACCAAATCAAGTCAGAAAATTATTAATAGATGATTAAAAATTGAAATTCGGTGGAGACAATAAATCTGGAGCAGAACTGTTTATTTCCCTTCAATTGTTGATTCAAAAAATGTTCCATCTTATGAAAAATGGATGAGTTAAATTGAATTGAAAAGAACAAATTTCACCGGATGTAAAAACATTCCTTGCTTATTTTGGAAAAAATAATGAAATCTGCCTAAACACACAAAAACAAATGTTTTTGTAAAAAAACTGGGCCAAGAAAAAGTTGTTTGATTCCTACTGGGAAGTCAAAATTTTTTAAAAATACATAGAAATAAAAAAGGAAGCCAAGTCAGGAATTTTGAATAAATGGTGATAGTGCACAATCAGGTTTCTATGAGAAAAATAGTTCTCAATGGAATAAGTATTCTAAAAAAATTCTCCATGAAATGAAAAATCAGTAGGAGCAGGACCAACGTTCTTGGCGCGGAGCTTTTCAACTCAATGTCTGTATCAATCTAATCCTGCATCCTTTGATCCGCGCCAAGGACGTTGGTCCTGCTCCTACTGATTTTTTATTTCATGGAGAATTTTTTTAGAATACTTATTCCATTGAGAACTATTTTTCTCACAGAAACCTGATTATTGTGCACTATCACCATTTATTCAAAATTTCTGACATGGCTTCCTTTTTTATTTCTATGTATTTTTCAAAAATTTCGACTTCCCAGTAGAAATCAAACAAAACTTTTTCTTGGCCCAGTTTTTTTACAAAAACATTTGTTTTGATGTTTTTTTTATGATTTACAAGATACTCTTAACGATGAAACTGTGAGGTAAAAAATGCAGCTAATTTTATGAATTTTTTAAAGTTCTTCGACATATTCCGGAGCCATATGCGGAGTTTCAGATTGCTGAAGAGAATGGTTAAAATGAAATGCTTTCCATCTTGTATATAAAGGAGAAGCCCGTTTTCACCTGACTGATATCAATGCCCAGCCCAAACTACTAGAGCTACAAGCATGAGCTTTTGTCTGCAGGTTCCCTTAGTAACGTAAGCACTGACTGAGGGAGGGTTTTTGGAAATTCATCCCCTAAGGAAGTGAAAAGGGGGCAAATATTTCTAGGTCATTTTGGAAACCGCGCAAGTTAGAGACTAGAAAATTCGTGTGTACACTGTTAAAACTGTTTACAAAATTGGTTTGAAGTTTAACACGAAATTTGAATTTGAGATCAACATTTCCGATTGCGTTGGAATTTGCAGTACAAATTCCGTATTTTTTCCATTAATCAAGAAATAGGTACAAAGTGGATAACAAATTTGGAAGATTTCGGTGACGAGTTTCTACCGAGTTACCGACGCCCGGTAAATTTAGTGGCCAATAACTTCGGATGCCAGTTAAGGTCTAACTGGCCTCCAAATTTGGGGAACGATGCCCCGGAAAATAACGTTCGAGTATTTGAGTGCACTAAATTTGGACACCGGGCCACGAAATGCTAAACAAGAACCATCTATACTCATATTTCGAACCTTTATGTCCATCTCTGGCGATTCAGGAGCGACGGTGTAGCGTCGTTGTTGCGTCGTTGATTTTTATTGTCGATTTTGGGGCTAGAAAAGGGGGAATGACCCCTAAAAACATTACAAAAGTTGATATATGAGGTATTTATTCATATTGGTACTGTTAATTGCATTGTTATTTATCAATTGGATGAAATTATTTTAATGTTAAAAATGATGATAGAAGCTTTTAGGAGGAATGCCGCGAGATGGCGGTAGCGTCAATTTCCCGCTCGGATCGGTAAAGTCGACAGTAGTCGTAGACCAGGCTGGTCTGACCAGTTGTCTGCCGAGCTAGTTAACGGGTGTGCAATGTTGCCGCATGTTTTGTTATTGTATTTTAGGTAATCAAAAGTGCACAGAAGATAAGAATTGCATTGAATATATTTTCGTATGAGTAACTTTAGATAATAAGAATTATTTTTATATTGTTTTAATTTATTTTATAACGTGTTTATTAGGGGGGGGGG